CCCAAAACCCCAAAACCCCAAAACCCCAAAACCCCAAAACCCCAAAACCCCTGTATTGGGTTTAAATATTGATCTAAACTCGGTGATTTAAATATGAAAATTCAAAAATTTGAAAGAGAAAATACAAGCTTAGTCAGACAAGAGTTAGTTAAACTGACAAATATCACACAAATAGTTTCCCTAGTTTGATTCGTGGTCTTGTACTCAGGAGTTTCAATGTTTGCACTTGCACTTCCATTCTATGGAATCAGTCCTGATCTGCAGTGTGAAGATGCCAATGGAACTTGGAAGAAATGTGATAAAACACAAGCTTGCCGGGCAGGAACAGTCTATAAGATTGACTGGGAATCAAAATATACAATTGTTAATATTATCACTGAGTTAGATCTCGTTTGTGCTGAAAACTATGAAATCGGCATGATTGGGATGGCTGCGTTTCTAGGATACTCCATAAGTGCAGTCTTTTTACTCCCAATCCCAGACATCATTGGAAGAAAGCCAAGTCTTATCTCAATGTCATTGGTCTCTATTGTTACTTATTTCTTGTTTATGTTTGCACAGAGCCTTATTCAGATATATCTACTTGCTTGAGTGACCGGTGGAACAATCTTGGTGAGGATGACAGTAGCTTATATTTATGCACTTGAAACCGTATCTAGTGAAACTCAGAAAAAGATTGTTCCTTGCTTGATTATAACAGAGAAGTTGACGATCATATCTATCCCGATCATCATGTGCATAACTAAAAGCTGGCTAGCAATCATAATCCCTTTCTGCTGCATCAGCATCTTTGCTACGGCCTTCATATTCTTTGTCCCAGAATCTCAAAAGTTTTTATGAAATAAGAATCAAGCTAGAGCAAAGGAAGAACAAACATCTTCAACTGGGTACCTTCTTGAATATTAATCTTTAGGCGGATGTTTGATCGACAAGTAGCAGAGACAACAATAAATGGTGATAAAGATCAACCTCAGTTCATGAACAACTTCAAAGACTGTAGTAAACTCCTAAATCTATTGATAATGATTTGCAGCTGGTCATTCACAAGTGCTGGATACTATCTTGTGTGTTACAATGTCAAATATTTTGAAGGTTCAGTGTATACCAACAGTATTCTTTTTGGGGTTGCAGGCCTCATTGGAGTGATCTTGTTCAGTATCTTAATTAATCTCATCTCAAGCAAAAAGCTCCTGATCAGTTCGTTCTTCTTAACACTGTTTGGAAGTGTTGGATACTCAGCAACTTTACAATATCCAAGCCTAGTCCCAATTTGGATCCTGTTCATGGTAGGTAGCTTCTCTATCCAATTCAGCCTGTGATACTACTTAAACTGTGAGTTATTTCAGCCAGCATTCAGGACAAGAGTGTACTCAATCTGCAACTTCTGCTCAAGGTCATGCTCAATATTATCCCCTCTCCTCTCAGAGACGCTCTCAAACCCTATAATCCTCATCTCCGCTTGCTCTATCCTAATGCTTCTTCTATCACTCAACCTAACCCCCAAACCTAACTATCGAAGCTATTCTTAAAACCCCAGCCTGTAAAGGTAGCATAACTTGAGGCCGTCACTAGTAGTGTTCATTTTATTAAGAAAAGAATGCTTGTCAAAATTTAGGATTTTAAAAGGGGTTTTGGGGTTTTGGGGTTTTGGGG